AGACAGAGATCCTCAAGAAAACATGAGTGGAGTATGTAACAATCCATTTGGGTCCTTACCAAGTTCCTTTGCATCTGGGCCAAGGCTGTGTTCTCAAAAATAGGCCCAGTGCATCTGGCACCCACCACATTAGGACTCTTCCCAACACAATAACAGCCCTCATCCATGGCCCTACTTCTAAATGCCTACCCTTTTCCCCTCCCAGAAGAGGAAAGTGATTTCTATACTGTGTAAAGAATCTGATCAATTTCCAGGAATAATGTTTTTGCCTTCTCTCACTTTTATAACAGAAGGATAAAATGAACTATTTCCTCCCATATCCTCCAACCCCTAGAAAGTGGAGATAGTAATGCTATCATAGACTTAGGAAGGTAAATGTCCCTGAGCTAGGTCTTCTAGGGGTTGCTGAAAGTGATTCTTTTAGTCTCTTTGCAAATTACAATATTCCCAGATAATCATAGTAGGAATTGGTGCTCCTAAAGTAGATGCCTAAGGGGTCTTTTCAGTCCAGTTCTTACCAAATGGCAATAATCTTGCCCTCTTGGAGACATTTGGCAGTTTCTGGAGACATTTTTAGTTGTCACCATGGGAGACATGGGCGGAGGGGTTGCCACTAACAACTAGTAAGTACGCATTGAGATGCTGCTAAACATCCTAAAATTCTCAGGACAACTCCCACAACAAAGGATTATCTAGCCCTAAATGTCAATAGATTAAGAAACCCTGCCCCAGTCTAATGTAAAACACATGCTTCTGGGTCCATGGATATAAATAGAAACACTGCTTGCATTACTCAATAGTTCATTCAACTATTTGCATTTGTGTACTGTTTTCATTATCAAAGAGATCTGAGCCTGGCTCTAACATTTGCCAGTTGTGTGACCTTGTGCAAGGAATGTAAACTCTTCATGCCTCACCTATGAATGGAGAAAACAACTCCTCCACAACTGTCATGGAGATTATATTAGATAATACATACAAAGTACTTAGTGAATAAAGGTAGCTCCTGCTGCTATCACCATCATCATCAAACACATAGTACTACCAGGTGCTTGTGTTTGGACCTGAAAACACAGGAATTTGAATAAAGACTAGGAACCTCTCACTAAGGAGCTCACAGACACAACCAGATAAGCAAAAATACAATCAGAAGACCTATTCCACTACTCAGTTACATCTTTTCATTTGCCTCTAGCATCACAGGATGCAATGATAGTCCTGATGGGGTCTTCTAGCTCTCTGGGTCCTCACTACTTCTCCCCTCCATCATGACCCAGATACTCTAGATTGGTACCTCAGGCACTTTGTGGCAGAGTTACTCTCACAACAAAGAGAAAACAGCATGCAAGTGAATGACTTCCAGTGGACCTCAGAAAGGGAACAGAATTGAAAACGTCACCATGTTCAAGATTCAGCAGTTAAAGTTTCAGTCTGTGAGGAGCACACATTCAGCACATACCATCAGGCTGCTTGCTCCCGACAGCATTTTTGGCATTTGTTAGCTAGAAACTCTTAATTTAGCAGAACTAAGCATCTTTCAAGGAAAAAAATTCCCCCTGTGAAAAAAGTCTTTATAAATTATTTTCCTTACTGTATCAAGTGACTTTACCTTATCCTTCTTATATCACCTGATACAGCTTTGCTCCTTGCTTTGTGCAAAAAAGTTATAATTTGCACATACACATTATAATTTGTAACTGTAAGAATGACTGCAGTGTCACATTCACTAGAATAATGACCAATAGCATAAATAAATAGGGGTTTTAAGGAAGGTATATGCCTTAGGAGAATATCTTTTAAGCTCTGCAGTTCAGAAATGAGGTTCCTGCACTGTTCTACACATTCAGCAGCAGGAAAAATTACTTGAAAGGTAAAAGCTCCATTTAGATGCTGTATATTTTTTGTTGATTTGGATTAAGCCCAAATGATTATTTTTAAGTTAATGTAGAAACACTGTGGAAAAATAAATCATGTTTTAATTGCTATAATGCTGCATCATTTACTTAAACTAGAAATGATTGGTGAATCTGGTTTTGTGGTACATCCTAAACAAGCAAATTAGTACACAGATTAACCTCTGTAATCACTCTCTAGCCAATTGCTTTCCATAATTTTTTCATGAAATTTGTTTGCATTCATGTTTCTTAATGAAGCAGGTAACTAGCCTTGCATTTTAGGAATTTGGTCCTCTTACATAGAAAAGTCTATAGTATTTGCTTTGGAGAAATTTATTGCTGATTTACTTGCAGGTAATACAAAACTCCTAATTTTGCTGAGAGGCTTCAAACCATAAGAGGACATGAGATAATTAGTTTTGGGACTATTTATAAAGCAGAGAGTTTCATTAAAAAAAAACAAAAAAAACTCCATGGTTTCTCAACTCTATAAACCCTTCCATTCCAACCAGAATGATAAAGGAAGCACAGAAGTGTTTTCATGACAGCCTTCCTCCTTCAAAATATATCCATCAATTTCTGTAACATTAGCTGTATTATTCTGGTCATTCACAACCTTACATGCTAAGGAAGGAATATTTTTATGATATAACTGTAAAAAGTACAAATCTGTTCACTCTTTTGTTAGGGCAGTCCTAGTAGTATACTTGTCCTGTATACTTGTCTGCAGTAATGCTCTATTTGGATCCATATGTATGAAGTGTATCTGATACATACAGCGGACTATGGAGTAGATTCCCTTTGGATCAATTTACATAAGGAACCATGACCAAGTGGCCTTTATCCCAGGGATGCAAGGGTGGTTCAACATACATAAATCAATAAATGTGATTCATAAACAGAAACAAAAACAAAGACTATATCATCTCAATAGATGCAGAAAAAGCATTTGACATAATTCCATACCCTTTCATGATAAAAATCTTCAACAAACTAGGCATAAAAGAAACGTATCTCAAAATTATAAAAGCCATATATGACAAACCCACAGGCAACATCATACTAAATAGGGAAAAGTTAAAAGCATTCCCACTAAGAACTGTAACAAAACAAGGATGCCCACTGTCACCGCCTGTATTCAACATAGTATGGAAAATCCTAGCCAGAGCAATCAGGCAAGAAAAAAGAAATAAAGAGTGTCCAAATTGGAAAAAAGAGATCAAACTATTCCTTTTTTCTGACAATATGATCTTATATCTAGAAAACTCCAAAGACTCCCCCAAGAGACTCCTGGAATTGATAAATAATTTCAGCAAAGTCTCAGATTACAAAATCATTGTACACAAATCAGTAGCATTCCTATACACTAACAACAGTCAAGCTGAGAATCAAATCAAAGGCTCAATGCCTTTCACAATAGCTACAAAAAATAAAAACCTAGGAATATATTTAACCAAGAAGGTAAAAGATCTCTACAAAGAGAACTATGAACCATGGCGGAAGGAAATTGCAGATGTTGGAAACAAATGGAAAAACATATCATGCTCATGAATCGGCAGGATCAACATTATTAAAATGTCCATACTAGTGATTTACAGATTCAGTCCAATCCCCATCAAAATGGCAATGTCATATTTCACAGATCTAGAAAAAGTAATTCTATGGTTTGTTTGGAACCAGAAAAGAGCCCAAATACAGAGCAAAAAAAAGAACAAATCTGGAGGCATCACATTACCAGATTTTACAAAGCTATACTAAACAAGATAGCATGGTATTGGCATAAAAATAGAGACATAGAGCAATGGAACAGGACAGAGAACCCAGATATAAAACAATCCACATCCCACAACTGATCTTTAACAAAGCAGATAATACACACTGGGGAAATGAAGCCCTAATCAATAAATGGTGCTGGGAAAATTGGATAGCTACATACAGGATCCATATCTCTTACCATTCAGAAAAATTAATTCAAGATGGATAAAAGACTTAAATGTAAAGCATGAACCCACAAGAATTCTAGAAGAAAATATAAGAAAACTCTTCTAGATATCAGCCTGGACAAAGAAATTTGTGAAAAAGACCCCAATGGCAATCACAGCAACATGAAAATAAATAAATGGGACTTGATTAAATTAAAAGCTTCCACACAGCTAAGGAAATAATCAAAAGAGCAAATAGATAACCTACAGAATGTGAAAAAATATTTGCAAGCTTTACATTCTATAAAGGGCTAATAACCAGAATCTACAAAGAACTCAAGCAAATCAGCAAAACATACACACAGAAACGACCTTATTAAAAAGTGAGCAAAAGACATGAACAGAATCTTTTCAAAAGAACACAAATAGTCGATATGTGAAAAAAGGCTTAACATCAGTAATCATGAGGGAAATGCAAATTAAAACCACAATGCGATATCACCTTGCCCCAGTTAGAATGGCTTTTATTAAAAAGTCCATACACAATAGATGCTGGCATGGATACAGAGAAAAAGGAACACTTACACACTGTTGGTGGGACTTCAAATTAGCACAACTTTTGTGAAAAATAGTATGGAGATTCCTCAAAGAACTAAAAGCATATCTACCATTCGATCCAGCAATCCCACTACTAGGTATTTACCCACAGGAAAATAAGTTATTTTGTCAAAAAGACACCTGAACTCAAATGTTTACTGCAGTACAATTCACAACTGCACATATGTGGAATCAATCCAAGTGCCCATCAATTCATGGGTAGATTAGCAAAATGTGGTACATGTATACCATAAAATAATACTCAGCCATGAAAAGGATGAATTAATGCCTTTTGCAATAATATGGATGGAAGTGGAGACCATTAATTCTAGGTGAAGTATTTCAAGAATGGAAACAGAAACATCACATGTGCTCACTATTAAATTGGAACTAACTGATGAACACACATGTGCACGGAGGGAAGTAAAACTCAGTGGAAATCAAGTGGGACAGGGGTAGGGGAGAAGAGGGAATGGGTGGAAACCTACCTGATGGGTACAATGAACACTATCTGGGTGATGGGCACACTTATAGCCTTGACTCAAGCATACAAAAGCAATCCATGTAACTAAAAATACCTGTACTCCTATAATATTTTAAAATAAAATATTTTTTAGAAAAGGAAACAAACAAAAAGAACCAAGGAGCCTCCTAGGTTAGTGATGGAAGGAAAAGGGAAACAATTTGCTTCTAGCACAAGGTACAATGATGCCAGAAAAAAGAAGTAACGCTGAGAACACCACACAGTCTTTGAATATTGAGAGACTTCTCCAGTGGGCACACAGGATTCTGCAGTAGAGAAATTACACTAAATGTAGAACTAAAAATGAGATTGGCTTATCTGAAATCTCAGTGGGCATGAGAAATGCAAGACATTAGTAGTCCTTGTCCAATAGCATTTGTCAACTTACAGGAGATAACACTCATTCCTCAGCTATACCAAAGTGCCCGAGACATGAGGCTCTGTCACCTTGGATAGGTATAGTAGATGTCACAATAACTCCCAGTTACCAATGACATGGGGACCACATGTGGAGGCGCAGCAACTGGAAACTTTCCCCAGGGTAGAAGGGAAATAAAGGTGCTGGTGTTTAGCAGTGATCAAGAGGCCTCATTCATAGAATACATGTGAGACACTCACTGGTGACTCCAGAGCTATTTGGGAGGAATATGAGACAGCCAGCTAGAGCCAAAGAAATACTGTTTTGTAACTGTTATTGTGATTTTTTTTTAATCCCCAGGATGAAGTGGCTTGGGAAATACAGGAATCTTGCAGAAGTAATAATGATGACTGTGAGTAATAGCTACTTCATTTCCTATGTAATTCTTGGCATTGTTTCTGTGAAGTAGAACAACGATATCAAAATATTTCACTGGAAATTAATAAGCTCTCAAGTTAAATTATAAAATATCCTGTGATGTGAGACACAACATCCAAAAGTATTGAACCAAGTAGAAGAAACTGCTAAAAACCAATGTTTTCTCTATCTTCTCGTGATAAAACACAGAGAACATTTCCCAGTTTATTACTGCTTGGAACTTAGGAGTAGAAGAAATACTCTCTCATTTGCCTGGAGTCTAAGCGCTATGTGGGGCACCCCTGGCACCTGCCCAGTCTCTTACCCAGGGGCAGGGTCCTGGGAGGCAGACTCCTCACACACACCTGGAAGCGCAGAAGACATCCTACAGGGTCCTCAGCAATCAGACAATAGTCCTGACTCTCAGTGAACTTTCATTTCCTGAGCTCTGTACCCAGCCTCCCTGGACCTACAACAGCCACCAGTCTCTCAGCACTAGCTAATGTCCCTCACCTTGTCCTTGGGCTCGACCCATCTGATCAGGCTGCCTCTGAGTCTGGCCCTCCCTGCCAGTTCTGCACTCATGTCAATACAGATACTCTCTCAGGTAAGCCTAACTTAAGACTGTAACTATATGTTGACCTAATACTACCATCTATAGGCATTCTGTATGGTTTCAAAAATAACATATTTCCTCCATTTCTCTCTTATTTTATCAACTTTTTTTGAAACCACAGAGAAGATGAGCAAACAAATGTTGGATAGCACAGGTCTGATAAGGCCCAAGTGACCCTGACACAAAACACACTTCAGATTGCAGATTTGGGGTGTACATATATAAACTATACTGAAGACTTTGGGGAAGATTAAGAAAACTTTTTATGAGAACTTGCTTTTATTCCTGGTATAATAAGGATTACTATTATAAATTAATGCTGAATTTTAATAAACACTTTATTGGCATATAATGAAGTAATCGTGATTTTCTCCTTTATAAAACTGATGTGGAAAATCATGGTAAACCAATCTTGTGTCCCTGCTTTAATCCCAATTTGCTCAGGTATTAACTTTGTCATATACTACTTGACTTAGCTTGCTCATATTTTCTTTAGAAATTATGCACTTATTTGACATAAAGTTCATAATATTCTCATTATATTTTCAGTACCTACAAAGAATTATAATGATGTCCCCTTTATATATTCCTAACACCCAGCTATTATTTTAATCTCTTTTCCTTCTTTGAGCTTGCCAATTTTAACAGATTTTTTAAAAACAAAATTTTGGCTTTGATGATGGTCTGTGCTATATATTTGTTTTTTGTTTTTGCTTTAAATTTCATTATTTTCTGCTCTTCTCTTTGTATTTTCCTTCCTTCTACTTTCCTTCAGTTATTTTTCCCATCCCATCTTTTCCTAAATTTTTGAGATGGGTGTTCAGTTTTACAATTTTCATTTTTCTAACATACACATTTAAGGCTATAAATTTTCCTCAAAGATAGCACTAGTTACGTTCTATACATTTTGATATGCCAAAATTTCAGTAGAATTGGGGTCAAAATATTCTCTAATTTCCAGTGGTTTCTTCATTGACCCATAATTTATGTAGAAGTATACTTCTTAATTTTTAAATATGTAAATATCCAAGATTTTACTGTTGCTTTTGGGATTATTATTGCTGACTTGCAGCTTAAATAAATTATGATCAACTTTTAACCCTTTATAAGTTTTTAATCCTCTGAATTATTTTAGAATTGCTTTTTGGCTATCTAGCCAATATTTTTATGTTTCACATATATTAGAAAAAAATGATTTTCTGTAATTATTATGTGTTCAATGTCTTTATGTGTTCATAAGTAAAGTTTGTTATTTTATTATGCAAATATTCTAAATGCTAAATTTTTGTCTGCTCTCTCAATTACTGAAAGAGATATATCACAATCTTTTACTATCTGTGGATTTTTCCATTTCTCCCCTAATTCTGTCAATCTTTGTTTTAGTTAACTTATATTACTGAGTTTCTAAAACTTGGGGATTACTAAATTTCCAGGTGAATTAAAGTTCGCATGGTTATAAAATATTCTCTTTATATCTGGTAATGTTTTTGGCTTTAAAGTCTTCTATAGAGTTAATGTATTAAGAGCTACCATTAACCTTTTGTGTGAGGGGGCATCAGTATTAGCATTTTACACTTTTTCCATCTTTTCACTGTCAACATTTTTACATACTTACAAGTTAAATATATCTCTTGAAACTATCATTAAGTCAGGCCTTATCTAGTCTTATAATCTTTGTCCTTTAATTGGGGCATTATGTCTATTTACAATAATATGATTACTACCATGTTTGGATTTAAGTCTACCTTATTGCCATCTAGGTTTTTGTGAATATCAGTATCAACTTTAAACATGGGTATTACGAAGATTAAACAACCTTTGAGCTTTGCATAAATGCTTTGAAAACTACTTTGTCCTTCTATTACTAAATATAATTCCATTAAAGATATTCCAAAAAAAAACTGTGATGTAGGCCCTTGAATGCAGTTTCAGAGAAGTTTGAAAAAATCAAGTAATTGCAGCGTAAAAATATATGCAGTGTCCTGAGATGACTCTTTTAAAGGAAACAAAGCTCATGATATTTGGCATACAAAGGTATATTGGAAGGCTCTCAGTCAGGAATAGAAAGGGGGCCAGTGTGACAGAAAGTGGCCAGACTGGTGAGATGGGTGTGAGCTAGATCCCGCAGTGCTTTGCAGTGTTGTAGACCTTGTCAGAAATGCACTTCCCAGTACATAAAGCAATGTCAGGGTGAGATTTATGTGTTTAATTGTTTACTCGGGCAGCTATGGTGAAAATTGATTAGAGAAGGCAAGAATGGAGTGGGATAGTCTTCTAAAGACCCCTCCTCCCCACAAAAAGGTGGTACCTTAGACTAGTAAAACATAAGTATGTGGCTTTGGGGTGCCTCTGAGGTAGAATCAACAAGATAGAATATCGTCTCACGTGGAAAGTAAGAAAGAGAGTGATCTCATAGGATGAAGTCCATGATTCTGGATCAGGCAATACTCTGATGGGAAGTGTTTGCAGTGAACTTATATCTACTGTAAAATCTAATGCTTACAGACCATTAATCAAATCTACTGCTTATTATTTTGCTTATTATTTCCATTATTAATATAAGTAGCTTATGAAAACCTCTCATAGTTCCACACTCTCCAATATTTTCTAATTTTTTTCTTTGTAGTTTTTGTGATAAAAATGATTTCAAATACAACTGAACAGTGTACCACATACTATATTATTCTTCTCACAAAAGACAGTATAAGGTTCAGTCAAAAACCCTCAGAGGTTCAGACCAGGTTGACACTGTGCTAAAAAAACTTAAAAAATAAAAAACCACAAAAGTTTCATTGTATTGCATTTTCACAAGGAAACAAAACTGAAATAGATAATTCTGGCAAGAGACGAATTGTTTCTTCCCTAACACAAAACTCTGGTACTGCTGCTTTCAAAAGAAGCATTTCTATTATACAACCATCATGTTTGTAATTGAAATGATAACTGTCAAATCATTACTGGACCTGCATTTCATTTAGGGTTTCAAGTTTTGAGCTGTCTCCGAAACAAAAATATAAAGTTTCTAATGGAAAATGAAACTATAAGATTGTTGAGTAAAAAAGTTTTTTTCCCCCAGTTATAAAAGTTATGTCAAAAAGTATTCAAAGAAAAAAAAAGAATGTTTTCTGAACATTACAGAAGCTTCATTTGCTGAAGGAAAAATCCTCTCAGCAGTCATGATCTATAGACTATGGACAGCAAATAATATGGTTCCCTTATCTGTAAAAATGAAGTGGTAGACATTCCAGATATCCCTGGAATTCATAGCACAGGTATCTTAGTTCATTCAGGCTGCTGGGTAGCTGGGTGGCTCATAAACAATAGAAATTTATTTCTCACAGTTCTGGAGGCTGAGAAGTCCAAGATTCAGTGCCTGGTGAGGGCTTGCTGCCTGGTTCACACACCGCCATCTTCTTGCTGAGTTCTCACATACTGGCAGAGCAGGGCGGGAGGAGCTCTCTACTCTGTTTTATAAGGGTACTATCCCATTCATGACCTAATCACCTCCCAAACACCCCACCTCCTAATGCCATCATCTTGGGGACTAAGATGTCAACATATGAATTCTGGGGGACATAAACATTCAGTCTATAGCAACAGGTATGTGTCGAGGCTGATTGGAGGGGCATGTATGTTGTACATGGGAACATGGAATGGGAAGGGTGTGAAGAAAGGTGAAGAGTGTCAGTGCTTTTCTTGTTTGTTACCATGATGTTTCTCCTGGGGTTGATGGATAAAGAGAGAAGAGGGAAAAATGTGGGGACTAGATAGAGTCCTGTTTTTTAAACATCACACTGTGAGATATTAGTGAATGGATCATGAACAGAATTTGTTTTAGTTAGCTAGAATACAAGATATCAGAGTGTATGGTGTGGAATACAGGTAGTATTTCATGAGTCTTTTGTTCCAAACATATGTGTGTTTGTGTGTATTGTGTGGGTATATGTAAATATGTATATATTGATTTGTCATATAAAATGTTTTCCAATCTATGGTTTGCAGTAAAAAATGTCTCTCTGAGCTATAGTATTTAAGGTTCCCTTGTCCCCTTGTCCTTCTCATAGTAAAGGACTATTATGTTAAAGACCTATTGTTCATTTTTTACTTGTATTTTTACACTTTTAGAATGAAAGGCTGAGTTTTCTCTTTATTCCTATTACCAGTAATGGAGCAGAGAAGAAAATCTTACTTCTGACATTTTAGAATTTACTATTCCTCTTATTCTGTATCACATGTTGATTCTCTGTTAAATAGTTCTCAAGTCCCTACACATATTAGATCACAGAGCTTTCAAAGATTATGAAGATCATCTCTCTCCTTTCTCTCTTTGGTTGATGGTCTTAAAAATTGGCATATGAGGTAGCTTTATTTAAGATATATTTCTATGTAAATTATTGTCCATCTGAAAAAAGTACACAGTGAATCAGAATCACTTTCTTGCTGTATAAACTTGAACATTTATTCATTCTCTCTGAGCCTCAGTTTCTTTGGCTGTAAATTAAATAATGTTAATATTATCTCCTTAACTAGATTTTTGCAAGGAGTGGAGATGATTCATGCAAAGTGCCTGACCAAAGCAAGCATTCAATAAACGAATTTTGAATTATAATAAAATGAGAACCCAAGCACACAACTGTTTTCTTAGCCAGCAGCCTGATCTACAAGCAGGCATCTTGTTGTCTATTGTCATGAAGAGCACATTTAATCTCGTTTTATCCTGAGGGCCAACACATGGCCTGACACACAATTGATGCTTGATAAAAGTTGACAGAATTGAATTAAGGAAGGGTGCTGTTGTGTTTTCTTGATAAGAGAGTATGCTTATTGACAAAATAATTATAGAAACCATTTCTTACGTCCACATAGCTTGTTAATTTGGGGGGATAGGAGCGTAATCACAATAAGAACCGCCTATCTCCCAAATGATCCAACTACAAAGGGAACCAAAGTCAAGCTTCATCTAGTAAGCTTGACCTTACCTGGCAGGAATTTAACAGGTCTCTCTGCGCTGGGAAGAAGCCAGTAATTGAAAGCACCTGCCGGTCAAAAGAAGCAGAACGCTTAGGCTGAGGAGGTAGTTATATTTTTGCCTATCTTCAAAAAGGAACGAATGAATGGATAAGAGAGAACAGTTGTTTTGCTCTGAAACAAACCTACAACAAACTATAGAGAACAGAGGCCAGTACTTATTTTCTTTTAACTACTTCCTTTCTTCTGCTCCCATCTATACATAAACAACAGACACCCCTAGAACTCCACGCACTGTTCTGTCCTCTAAATTCTTAGGCCCCTTGGGTGATGGGTGCACCTCGGAGTGCCACTCTACATGGCCTCCCGGCAGCACTGTGCTGCCCTGACCACACCTCTGAGTCCAGGGGAGGTGGGAGCACCATGTTCAACAACATCTCTTTGCCATCTCAAAGGAATTCCAGATATCATTAAGACAGTGTGCCTCCAAATAAAACAGGCCGTGTGTGTTTTAGTAAACTGACAGCCATCTCTAAAGAACCCCGAGGTGCATGAAGCAACTGAGTTTTCCCATCCTACTGTCTTCAAAGTAATAAAGAAAATGCAATTCTTATGCAACTAGCCTTTCTGGCTGACCCTAGGGTGGCATTTGCTGTCTATTCTGCTATTAAACTACCTCACAAAAATAATCTTTTGTCGAATTT